ACCTGCACAGCTGCATTTCATGCATCCGACCAGATTCGGAATTGACTCTTCTTTTTCTCCTTTGACACCCAAAGTTCAAAGACATAACATATATAACACGAACGCAGTTTCACAAGTACCTACCGACCTGCCACCCACGAAAATAATATATGTGAGCCGTTGGCCCCCGCTCGCGCCGACTCGCACCCCGCCCGGCCCCCTTAGAGCTGACCGTGGCGGGTGCATTCTGCTCTCACCGCTGCTCACCGCTGTCTCATTTTGCTCTCACCACTGATCATCCCTGTCTCATTCTGCCCTCAGTCTCACCGCCATAGGCGGCGGAACGGGGAGGGCACCGGGGCACCGTGCCCCCCTTTGATTTTGGCATTTAACATTAGCCCTATGGGCGATGCATGGAAAGAATGGGACCAAAAGTCGGCATTGCCCCCCCCCCCCTTAATTGAAGGTGTTCGGCCGCTACTGCTCACCGCTGCTCACCCCGGTCTTATTCTGCTCTCTTCGCTGCTCACCTTGTCTCACACTGCTCTCACCGCTGCTCACCTTGTCTCAATCTGCTCTCACCGCTGATCACCCCTGTCTCATTCTGCTCTCACCGCTGATCACCCCTGTCTCATTCTGCTCTCATCGCAGTGTTCAACACTGTCTCAATCTGCTCTCGCCGCTGCTCACCTTGTCTCACACTGCTCTCACCGCTCTTGAACCCTGTCTTTCAACCACAGAATTCGGACGGCTCCTGCTCCGATGGCTGGACAAGCGTTGGCTCCGACTGCTACGCCATGACAGAGGCTTTGAGTTTCTCGGAGGCCGAGCTGGCGTGCCCCACTAAAATGACGGGTGCCCGGCTGGCAGCAGTGTACGACTACGACACGCTGTCTGCAGGTCTGGATATCGGCACGGCCGAATACCTGTGGATCGGCCTGCGCTCGACGCCTGCTGCCGACGGCGCCCTGCGCTGGCTGGCCAACGGTGAGGAGGTGCTCGAAGCCCCCTGGAAGTACGTCGAGTACGACGAGCCTGACAGTGAGATTGTGGGCGACGACGCCGACTGCGTGGCGGTGAACGGCCTGGAGGCAGCCGAGCTGTACAGGACGGGCGAGTGGGGCGACTACTACTGCAGCGCCGAGTTCAAGTACCTCTGCGCCCTCAAACTCTGAGAGCGCGCATCACACGCCGCAAACAATGGCCGTCGAGGAAAGGCGACAGTGTGTTGGAGCGCTTGTCTCGAGCAACTGCACTGCTCTGGGTAGCTAGTCGAGACATCATTTTGTGATAGGCTGGCTACCCGCCGCCTACTGTATTCCCTGAGGAGTCTTATGATGTGTTTACATAGAGTGGGGTTTCATCACTTTGAGTGGTATTGCGGATTATCTTCTTGTGTTTTGGCTGACGAAAAATATACATGTGCGTAAGCATGAGAATTGAGTAATGAGTACTGCATAAGTTCAAGGATTTTACGCTCAAGCATTTGATGGTGGGCGGGTATTCCGAACTGCCGGATCCGCTGGGAACTTCACAAGCTTCAGCTCACACAAACAAGGGCTTAACCCGGCGGCTGTTGGGCCTCCACGCCACCCGCCGGCCGATAGGGGGGGGGGGGCATAAAGTTGCTCTGCTAATACTTCAGCGACGATATCGTCACAACGCGGAGAGATAGAGAAGCGAAACTTTGCACACATCTTCCTGAATACCTAACAAAGGTGGTGTCCAAATTTGGTGTCGACTGTCGATCCCATTTGAATTGACATCACAGCGACGTCAGAAGTCAAATTATAGATTTGCGACTCCCAGTTTCCTCACGATATATCCGATATCCCGCGCGCCATTGAGGTCTGGCAGGTTCCACGTCCTGTTGGGGGGGGGGGGGGGGGAGGGGGGGCAAAGGGCCCCCGTCGTATCTCCGGAACCAATAGCTGGATCGGAAAAATTCAAACGGCATTCGAAAGAGCTCATTGAGATGCACAAGAGAGCATATCAATGACCTTGATATTTGACCTGTGACGTCACAGGGAGGTCAAAAAGTTCAAATCAGTCCAATTTACAATGAGGAGACGTCGGTCATAAAAATGAAATCAAAGTTTCCAAAATGAGTCTGAATATGATGTATATGATAGATCTGGCATATGGATTAGTCACCTAAGTGGATGACGACCTGTGACGTCATAACAGAGGTCAGCCTCGACCAATTAGAAAACACTTTCGCGAATCGTTAGGAAAGGCATGTTAAATTGTGAATATTCGGGTATTTATGAAGACATGTTATACCTATATAGTATATATGCAACCACAGAAACCTCCTCCACCATTTTTCTTGCACCTATGACGTCACACAAAGGTCAAATAAGGTAAAATTGAACCGGTTTACAACGAAAAAAATCACGTAAAAGTGACTTTACTCACGTAAAGGAACGTATTCAGTCAAGAAGAGGTTGATACGTATCATAAGTATTACTCCTGACTGAATTTAAGCACAAATACCGAAAATATCGTGACGTCATAAGAACAGTCGCTACTTTCTCAGTCATTCAAATTCCCATATCTCTGGCAGATTTAGAGATATGTTGTCAATTTTTGGCATGTTTAAGGCCCGTAAGAGGTTCTCTTACACGTATTCCTGTTTTTTGAAAATTTTCCCAAAGTTCAAAAATACCCCAAGACATCTAAATTTTGAGTTAAAAAATCCCTAGATCTAGGGATTTTTATATTTTGGAAATTTCGAGGTAGCTATTTTGCTTATCATGCTATTTTGTAGGTACCAATGGTTCAATTTCTGAGTCGCTAAGTTGAAATTCTGATTTTCTGCATCGCACCCTACGCTACTTTTACTAACTTCATTTCACCCTCAAATGGCTGGGCTAATGGTGCCTGATCCCTGACAACATGGTTGGCTCCCCTGTTCCATCCAATCCCTCCCCCACCCCTCCCCATGAACTTAGCGCTAAGTCGTTTTCGGCTGGCAATGCATCGTAGGCGTGGAAGCGTTAAAAAAGTGGAACGGTGCTACAGTCGTCTTAGAAATAAATGTTTGTTCATGCCTAGCCCAATCCTCAAAAGACAATTCGTTAACCTTTGCACTTAGTTAATCCTTGCACTTAAAGGTGGAGGGGTCGAACAGATCCTCTGTCCTCGGTTTTTCGAGGCTAACTTAAAGGGACCCTCCCACCTTCAAAAAAGTTTATGAATTGGCATGAAAGTGATGTCGCTCGGTTCAGAAAGAGCGAAAACGAATATCTACCAAATTTCACCGAAAAATATTCACCGGTTTTCAAGATATTATACTTTTACTTTTGTTTACTTTTTTGGGATCTCCGCTGTTTCTAGCGACTTTATTTAAGAAGTGCGGCGTTTGCGGCAGATGTTGCGCGCAAATAGCATATACCACCGCGTGCTACAAAACGTTTTAGTCAAACATTTAAAAATCGTTAGATATCTACGCTGACGTCACACATTCAGAGGGGTATTCCTAAGCATTAGCCCCTCTGAATCAAAATGCTGCAATTTTTAAATTCAATATTTCCGATTTAAGGCATTTCTCGATGTTGTGAGTGCCGAAACCGGTAATTGTGAGCCAGGGACCCCATTTTGGCTATCTCAACTCAAATCTAATGTTAAGGTGGGAGGGTCCCTTTAAGCAAAACGTGGTGGATCGCAGGGGCCGGGCTCTCTCATATAGGCAAGGAAGGCAGTGCCTACGTCATTCTTCGTCTTCCTCTTGTCTCCACTCTCCCTATACCTAGTGGCATTCGTTTGTTTGATGGCATAGTCTGGATAAGGGTCATTTTCTACACTTCAGAAAACGCTGAAAGTAAAGTAAATTGCCCAAGTTTTTTTTTCAAAAAATACCACACCAGGCCAGTACATAGTCAGCAACTTGACGGGAACCCTTGCCTATTTGTGCCTACCTCGTCCTACTAAATTACCGACTGGTGCCCTTGCTGAGCCTATTGAGCCTTTTGGTAGAAAATAGCTACAAGGTCGGCACATCGACTGGGTGCTACCTTCTAACTCCCAAAGTAAACTTCCTAATGTGCTCATTTTTCATATAATGAAACACATTTTACCATACCAGTTTAACGCCTTTTGGGGCGACTAACGGAGCGAGCGAGAGGGTGGGCCTTGCACGTGCGAAAGGCAGTGTGCCGCGGTCTGGTAACCTGCCGCGGCGCGGCGCGGCGCGGCGGGGCGTAAGGAACCACGCGGCACTGCGGCTGCTTTGACGTCTCGTAACTCGTAAGAACTGTTTAGGCAAAATTCGGCAAAAAATTGAAAGTTGCCCCCGATGCAGAACATTTTGATATGCGTTTCATCGCGTACCACCGCATACCAAACTGTGTACGACGACAACAGTTCGCTGGTCAACTCTCTGAACCAAGAGACATTGGTAACATTTTTTACATTTTGTTCCAAAATTATGCATTTGGATGTCTTTTTTTTGAAAATTTTCGTGCATACCATCATCTTAATAAGTCACAGATAATGAAAACATATAGCAACTTTAATCCGCTGTTGGTAAACGAGTGAGCCGGCGTTTCATTGTAGTGTGTTTTTTCGCTATATCCGGGAAGCACGACGCTGGTCAGCGCAAGGCTGCACTTTGAGTTTTATGAGGCATAAGCAGTCATTTGTTAAATGATTTAATGTCAGATTCGGATGCGCTGGACAATTCTACGTGGAATGGATAACAAAAAAAGTGTGAATCGCTAAAAATGGCATACGACCCGACGGCGCGAGGGTACGAGGGCACAATTTTCCCTCCTCCCCGTACCTGATGTGCTAATTGCACGTGTTTATATTAAGCCTTTGTTTGTGTGAACTGAAGCTTTTAAGCTCTCAGTGTGTCGTGGAATTTTGAATGCATGACTTTTATTATGACTACAATCACCGAGGGAAAAAATGTCGAAAACCCTGAAGTAAATTAATCTCCTTTAACCGTCCACCATCACAAACTTCATGGCGTAAAATGCTTCAACGCTTGCGGTACTCATTACTCAACACTCATGCCCTGTGCACATGTATACATATTTTTCGTCGGTCTGAGCTCACGAAGATAACCCTCTATACCACTCAAAGTGATCAAACTCCACGCTTAACCACATAGCTACCTAGAGCAGTGCCCGAGACAAGCGCTCCAACACACTGTCGCCTTTCCTCGACGGCCATTGTTTGCGGCGTGTGATGCGCTCAGAGTTTGAGGGCGCAGAGGTACTTGTACTCCACGGTGCAGAAGTAGTCGGACCAGGCTCCCGCCTGGTACAGGTCGTCTGCCTCCAGGCCGTTTACCACCACGCAGTCGGCGTCCTCGAATCCCATCTGCTCGCTGTCAGGCTCGTCGTACTTGATGCACTTCCAGGGGGTGTCGCTCACCTCCTCGCCGTTGGCTAGCCAGCGCAGGGCGCCGTCAGCAGCAGGCGTCGAGCGCAGGCCGATCCACAGGTATCCGGCCGTGCCGATATCCAGACCTGCAGACAGCGTGTCGTAGTCGGACACTGCTGCCAGCCGGGCGTCCGCCATTTTAGTGGGGCACGCCACCTCGGCCTCCGAGAAACTCAAAGCCTCTGTCATGGCGTAGCAGTCGGAGCCAACGCTTGTCCAGCCATCGGAGCAGGAGCCGTCGGAGTTCTGTGGTTGAAAGACAGGGTTCAAGAGCGGTGAGAGCAGTGTGAGACAAGGTGAGCAGCGGCGAGAGCAGATTGAGACAGTGTTGAACACTGCGATGAGAGCAGAATGAGACAGGGGTGATCAGCGGTGAGAGCAGTGTGAGACAAGGTGAGCAGCGGTGAGAGCAGAATGAGACCGGGGTGAGCAGCGAAGAGAGCAGAATGAGACAGTGTTGAACAGCGGTGAGAGCAGTGTGAGACAAAGTGAGTAGGCAGCGGTGAGAGCAGAATGAGACCGGGGTGAGCAGCGAAGAGAGCAGAATGAGGCAGTGTTGAACAGCGGTGAGAGCAGTGTGAGACAAGGTGAGCAGGCAGCGGTGAGAGCAGAATGAGACCGGGGTGAGCAGCGAAGAGAGCAGAATGAGACAGTGTTGAACAGCGGTGAGAGCAGTGTGAGACAAAGTGAGTAGGCAGCGGTGAGAGCAGAATGAGACCGGGGTGAGCAGCGGTGAGAGCAGAAATCACCCGCCATCGGTCAGTTCTAAGGGAGCGGGGCGGGGTGCGAGTCCGCGCGGGCGGGTGCCGGGTGGGGTGGGGGTGGGGGGAGGGACTGCTTGCATTGTATAGACCCATGTGAAACAGCGTTCGTGATATATGTTATGGGTCTCTAGGTGTCAAATGAGAAAAGAAGAATCAATTCTGTTACTGGTCGGATGCCTGAAAGGTAGTAGTGCCGCTGAATTGAAAGCGAAGACGAAACATACCACCTATGTTCTGTATGATATACTGCGAGTAGGTAGAACAAATCTTTTAAACATCTCGCCTATCGGCTCGACGCTTAACAGATCTTTTTCTACCTGCGAGCGGTTTAATCATTTTTATCCCGACCGTTGATATCTTTCAGGCGCTTAAGGTAAAAGATACATTTTATATAAAAATACGACATAGTTATATCAGAATTTTATTAATCGTCTAGACGTTTAACAAATCAGTTAAACGACATCTGATAATTTTTCTCTTTGGACGTGAAGCAATCGTAAACACTGTCAACGGTGCGGGATAAAACTATTTAGTACATGGAGGTCTATATTATGTGCATACAATGCTGTCATATATGGTTGTTGGTGCAGAACAAACAGGGTGAACAAGTATAGTAGCAGTTCCAGTCCAGTCATCATGTGTCGCCACGGTGCCTTACCTGCTGGACCTGGCAGATGGCCGGGGTCTGGTAGTTGCAGTCCCAGTCCATCCAGCTGCCGGCCGGCTGGAACTCGGCCGGCGCGCTGGCGGTCGTGACCATCACACAGTCGTCGTTGGTGATTCTGGAGCCGCTGGGCTCCTGGTGACGCACCAGCTCCCAGTTGGTGTAATCCACCGGCTCGGCAGCCGCCGTGCCGCTGTTCCACTCGGCGTCCCCGGAGCGCAGGCCCACCCAGTAGTAGTCCGAGCCGATGATGGACTCCTGCTTCGACAGGAACGCTTTGTTGGCGTACGTCACGGAGGCCAGGTAGGCGCCGCCGCTCAGCGCCTCACAGCCGTTGGCCTTGGCGTCCGTCCAGCTGCGAGCGTCCTCACTCAGTCGGTAGCAGATATCTCTGTGCGGCCCCTCCCACCCAGTGGGACAATCCTGAAACACGAGCACAGCGCACCGGACCCCGTCATCGCAAACACACCGCAGTAGGTGATTTCACATTTAGAGAACACTCTTCGTTGGAAATCCTCGACAGTGAATCAAATCATCATGGTGCCTACACGATAGTTTAATTCCATGATAACACATAATAACGAACATCATCGGCGTCTCATTCAGCACAAGTCCCTTTTATGAGCGAACGGAAACCATCACTCGCGAGTCGCGGAAACACACATTCTCAGTGCTGTGCTGGCCTCGTAAGTGTATGTACAAGGCACAAGCACGCTGCGGACGAGCTTTCGATCGACAACTCTAGCATACTGGACCTATGGTAGAGTTTTTTTTCCTATGGTAGAGTTTGTAACCATGAGGTTGTAATACGAAGGCGAGGGTTGTGTGCGAGCTTTGTGTGCGAGGGTTTAGGCCTTACCTGTCCGCTGGCGGGAGCCGCAGTGGACGGTGCCGCTAACTGCAGCCCCATCATCAGGCTGACAGCGGCCAACAGCGAAACGCGAGCGACGACCATGGCGACGACGAAGCGATGACTGACCAGCGGACGATGATGATGTGCCGTGGATCGGCGGGACCATTTTATACCCCCCGTCGCCAACCGAACGTCGGAGCGCTGCTGCAAAAACAGATCCAGCGTGCCGCGTCTCGCCATGTGTTGTCACAATTGCCCTAAAATAGGTCGCCGAACTGTATTTTGCCGTCAAACGTGAGCTATAAGGTTTGTACAGCCGTTTGGGCAGACAAGAGGAATGGGATGGCGTTTTTAGCGTTGCATGTAGGTATGTTCAAGTGCCTGAGCTGATGTACATCTGCGAATATGACCTCGCGGTGATCAGCAAAAAATAGCGTGACTATCTCTGGTCACTGGTGCCCTTCAATAAACTTCAGAGGGAACATGTGCCCGTCTTTTTGAGCACGTAATCGATCCCACCCAGTCAGGGGAGAATTTTTGGGTTTTACTGAGGTTGCGCGACCCCGGGGCCGGGGGGGGGGCACCGGACCAACTTCCGGATGAAGTGACCCAAGGGAGGATATGTGTATTGTGTACATATCAGTCGGGGAAGTTTGGTCAATCGTCGCCATTTTCTAGCACGTGCTATTTTTGGCATACATGTGCCAAAAAAGACGATTTTGGAAATATTGGCACTGATTTTGGAAAAGAAGTGCTGGAACCTGGTGCAAGAAGAGGAAACCAGCTTTATTATGGCCGTTGCTTGTAGGTATGGTGGTCCAACGTTTTTTTTTTTATAAATTTAGTCCGAACCTTTTGATGGGAAGGATTCACAAGGACAGAGCCACCGCTAAGCGAAGCTTGTTGCGATGACCCTGCCCTCTACCCCCCGATCGCGCAATTCCGATTCTATGGCAGAATTTAGAGTCCAAAGTTTTACGTGCGCACAAAGCCGCGCACGGCCGGTCCCCTCGCTGACTTCGCCTGGCTACGGCCTGCCACCAACCGCAACCATACCTGTCAGGAGGCCCATAAATGTCGAGCGCCCGTCGCGCTTCGAACCCGGACTGTTATAACCGGGAACGCGTGCTCTCACCACGCGGAGTCCAACGCTCTAACCAACTGAGCTACGGGACCGGCGTATACATTGACGTATACATTTTTATTTTTGTAGTCTGAAGTTGGAACGTAAAATTGAAGCATCTGAAAATGATCGATATTGTTCGAAAACATAATATTGAGGAAAAATTGATATGTTAACCCTCGCATGTGTGCGGCGTTTGCCAGCTTCTAATGTGTAGGGGGGTCGGTTTGACCCCCTCCCTTTGCCGTTTGTCCAAGTGGGTAAGAAAGTTTCAATCGGGACAGCTGGAACGGCGCCGTGGAAGTGGCGCACAGCTTTCAGCAAGAACTGAAGACAACATCAGGAACGCGGAGAGCTCCGTTCTGGAGAGTCCAAAACGGTCGATAAGGCACCGCGGTCAAGCTCTAGGCATATCAAGAAGCTCACTGCACAGAATTCTAAAGGAAGACCTGCGTCTGCACCCATACAGACTGCAGCTCTGCCAAAAGCTGACAATCTATGACCAGAAGAAACGAGTCAAGACGGCGAAATGGCTCACACAGCACCCAGCAGTGATGGACCGAGTATGGTTTTCGGATGAAGCCCATTTTTGGCTCAACGGACATGTGAACAGCCGGAATGATGTGCACTGGGCTTCAGAAAAGCCGGATGAGGTTCTGACAACTCCCCTACACTCGGAGAAGGTGACTGTGTGGATGGCGATGAGGAGAGGCGGAGGAACGATCGGCCCATTCTTCTTCGAAGATGAGAACGGCGATACTGTGACGGTGAACCAAGAGCGATACATGGCACAGGCACTGAGTCCGTTCTGGAAGGAGCTGGGCAAGAAGGCCGGAGCTGACCAACGGATGACGGACTGGTTCCAACAGGATGGTGCCAGTCCACACACCGCCAAGGCCTCGCTCCTGTGGCTCCAGAGGAAGTTCAACGGGCGTCTGATCAATTTGAAAACTGACGTGGAGTGGGCGCCGAACTCCCCTGACCTGAGCCCTCTCGACTTCTTCATGTGGGGCTACTTGAAGGCACGGGTGTACCAGAACAAGCCACGCAGTTCACGTGAACTCAAGACAGCGATCATGTCTGAAGTGAGACAGATTCCAGCTCAGATGATCGACGACGCAGTGACACACCTGGAGACCGTGCGACTTCCAATGGTGCTGCGGCGCAAGGGTAGTCACATCGAGCACCTCCTGTGAGGAGAGACGACTTCGGTGGAGTGACAAATGTGACATGGCTAGTTTTGCCATTTCGTCAGGAGAACAGTGGTGTGCATATCGAGTGTGTCGGATGACTAATATACGAGTTATTGACAATTTACTGGGTAAACTTTTCTGTGGGACGCATGGTAGTTATAGTTAATGGTAGGACCCGGTTGGACCCGTCTTTTCCAGGAAATTTCCAGGAACCGGTCTGGTTCTTTGGACCGGATCCTCGGGTCCACATTTTGCCACCTCCATTTCGGAGATAGGGGGGTCTGGAGAGCCCCCCCCCCCCCAGTCACTCACGCTAAGGAAAATGCCCCAGTCATGCGCGGGTTAAGTACTTAGTGGTGAAAAGCAGACTTTATGGTTTTATAAGCGGGGGTTCCCCTGTGGACTGTAATTGCATGTATGTAGGTTATTTTTCATTTTAAGGCGTTAATGTCAGTCGTTACTAATAACCATGCAGTGTAGCCCACATGCACCTTGCAATTATTCTACCATTGGCTTGTGTGCCGAGGAGCCACTGCGTCATGGGGAGCTGGTCACACGCAACGCAGTGCACACAGGATGTGTTCCCGTCTCGCGGGGCGACGGCGCGCGCCTGGGGCACGCTGTGCACCCCTCGCCGCGGCCGGCCGAGTGGTGCCACACCGCCATGGCGCGTCCCCGGGCGGAGCACGGTAAGTGAGCCTGTGGAAAGGCCGCCGCCCCACACTGGAACTCGCATGCGGGTTGCGAGTTTGCGGGTTTTGAGTTTGCGGGCATAATACGAATTCACAGAGTGATTAGACCGTTCCCTTATAGTAACTTCATGAATGCAGTGAAGCCGGTAGGTACACCTTCAGAAACTTACATATAGTCGCAACACCAGCGCAACGAACCAAAATTCGACTTCAACGAAAAACCCGCAAACCTCGCAGAACTCGCAGACCTCGCTGCGAGGAAAATCGAAAATTGACTCAAATTGAACTTTTGGAATGCGATGCAAGGTCGCTCGCAAGCTGATAACATGCAGACTTGCTTGTTAGATGGTAGTGTGGGTCACTCAGCTTAGATTATATTATTTGATTTTGAAGAAACCGCAAAACCCAAAAACTCGCAACCCGCATGCGAGGTCCAGTGTGGGGCGGCCTGAACGGTATATATTAGCCGTTTTCACGACGAACTATGCGGCGAATGCACCTGATTTGACCAAATCTGCACCTAATTTCTTTTACAGAAATATCTTCATTTTTTGATTTTATTTCAGTGTTTTACCCTCGCCACAGGCCATTTTGCGTCCTTCGACGGCACAAGGGGGGGTTGGTACGACCCCCCTCGCGTTTGGCCCCTGATCGAGCTAGAGTTTCTCGGAAAAAACGAGCGTGCTGCCCGTCACGAGAGGAAGCCGATGATACCCAATTTTAAGGTCCTAGGTCCTCGGGTGACCTTTCAGGTCAGGTCAATGACCCGAAAACCGGGAAAATCGGAACCTGTTAGAAAGTCGCAAAATGTGAATGCTATGTGGTTTTCCGGGGTGCTGATCACGAATATCGTGTTAGTTTTGATCAGAGATGATGTCTTTAAGTATTTAGACCAGGTCGGGTCAGGTCAGGTCAGGTCAACCGGTAGGGGTTGTGACGGGTATTCGTAATAGGGTAGACCGGGGCAAGTCGCCCCGCCGAGGTAAAACGCCTCACCGATGTTTCTCGGAACTGGCAAGGTTCTGGGGAAACATCCTCTCTTCTATAAAACGTGCACTATACGATCATTATATGAGCAGACTGGAAAGAAATTGTGATGACGCTTTAGGGAGATATAGCCAAAAATGTGTTTTTGGAGTGATTTTTATGTTTTGTTGTCAGATTATGCATCATGGCGTTCTTTTATCGTCCACATCAGGTTAACGACTTTTATGTATTTTGAACGACTATTGTCTAACGCTTATAATGCCGGGTTGGTTCGTGTTAAATTATGTCTTCCTGGAGTGCAAGGCGTTGTTCTCTGACCGAACTACGTGATGGGGTAAAACGCCCCAGTAGGTCGCGGGGCAAAAAGCCCCATGGGGCGTTTTACCTCATGTGTTGTTTGGACTACCCACTTCCTAATGTTCGGTAGCTGGCGAAAGGCATGTTTCTGTGCATTTATATGTACTTTTCTCAGCAACTGGATGGCAAAGGAAGTATTTTGTTAACATTTGCATCGCAATAATTTATTATTTGGCCTTCTGAGGCAGGTGAAAAAACTGCTCATACAATAGTGTCGTAGCTGAACACCTGATAGGATGGAAGGTGCTAACTTCAGTGCCGTGCCTCCCAAGGTCTAACGGACCTCTCATATAAGATTTAGTCAACTAGCATGTTTAATCTTTAATCTAGAATATGGGGCTTCTTGCCCCAGGCCATGGGGCGTTTTGCCCTGGGGTTGGGGCAAAACGCCCTATTTGCAGTTGCTTCACAAATCACTTCCTAGCTGGGAGTCCGATCATAAGTGAATGAATTTGAGGGGTGTAATTTAAAGTAAAATGTCCAAAGAACGCATTGAGCACAAATTTGGCCTTCCAGGTGATGTGGGACAAAAGTTATGTAGCAAAATAAATTATCTGGGGCGTCTTGCCCCAGGCTACCCTACGTGTCAACCGCCTCTGACAGCTTCGTAACATGTTATGAAGGCACCAAAACTACTTCGTAAATGTTCAAATGGTTGCTAAATTCGAATTCAGCTCCAAAAACTAGCCTAGAAACATGTAAAACTCGAAAAAGTGAACCGAGGTCACCCGAGGTCACCAAAGGTCAATGACCTGACCTGACCTTCAGGTGACCTTGACACCCACCGTTATGTATGGGAGCAACATCAAATCACATGTTTGAACGTTTGAAACCACTAAAAGCTTGCAAACGCGCGGCTAATGCGAGCCGGCATACGCCGAATCGCGATTCTGGCCAAACATGGTCTCGGAAAAGAGGTCACAGGTCAAAGGTCATTTGGGTCAGGGTCATGAAATTTTCAGGGTAGGTGTAAAATTGATCAATGCGAGGGTACTGAAAGTTTCGTTGCGATCGACCGCTTTTCACGCGAGTTATTCGCGAAAAATCTTAGGTGGGGGGGGGGGGGGGTTGCATCAGCCATCAACCCCCTGTGCCGGCGAGGGTTAATCGATGATGCTCTCTGATAATAAGTAGGCATATAAGCAATTTGTGCAACCCTAGCTGACAGCTGCTAAGAGACACACTGAACCTGATTTGACCAAATCTGCACCTAATCTGTACCAGATGTGCACCAAATGTGTACCAGATGGTCGTCGTGAAAACGGCTAATGGCGAGCTGCTATCGCGGCCCTGGCCTGTCATTGCTGACGGTACAGTCGACACAGACGAGTTGCTATACCACAGCCCTGGCCAGCGGGCCACTCTAAGCGCCGCGTACTCTGGTCGGATCGGTTGGGTATCAGTACGGCAAACACACATTTTGCACCATATTATTTATGTAGGTATAGGACTAGGTGGTGGTTCGTGTGGTTCGGCATAGTGCATGCATTAAAGGGACCCTCCCACCTTAACATTAGATTTGAGTTGAGATAGCCAAAATGGGGTCCCTGGCTCACAATTACCGGTTTCGGCACTCACAACATCGAGAAATGCCTTAAATCGGAAATATTGAATTTCAAAATTGCAGCATTTTGATTCAGAGGGGCTAATGCATAGGAATACCCCTCTGAATGTGTGACGTCAGCGCAGATATCTAACGATTTTTAAATGTTTGACTAAAACGTTTGGTAGCACGCGGTGGTATATGCTGCTTTGCGCGCAACAAATGCCGCACTTTCAAATAAAGTCGCTTGGAACAGCGTTAGATCCCAAAAAGTAAACAAAAGTAAAAGTCTAATATCTTAAAAACCGGTGAATATTTTTCGATGAAATTTGGTAGATATTGGTTTCCGCTCTTTCTGAACCGAGCGACATCACTTTCATGCCAATTCATTAACTTTTTTGAAGGTGGGAGGGTCCCTTTAACTGGATCGCCGCGTTTAGTGAATCCAGATAACAGGTTTTGGACGCGGCGTACTCAGCGCAGGGGGACACTCAACAAATAAAGTTTTCAATGTTGGAAACTCTTCAGATACCGCTCCATTATAACTATGTTGTCATGTTATCAACCCGCGCCCCGCTGGAGGGGGGGGGGGCAGAATCTGCCCCCCTCCCGTTTTTCGCCAATAACTTCTAAACGCGTTACGCCAGCGACGTCAAACTTTCAGTACCTTCTCAAGCATCAATTTGACACGTTTCCTGAAACTTTGAGCGAAATCCGTTGGAATGTTTTTGAGAAAATGACGTTTTAGTGACGTCACGGTCGTTATTTTCGCCTCAAAAACGGCAAAATTTCATACGCCACTAACATCTTCATTTTTAAAGGAATCAAGACGTAACAAAAAAGTTTATACGTGATTCAACTTTGCCTATCAAATGGCTGTCTCGGTTTTTTGAAAATTTTGGATTTTGACCCAATTTTTTTCTCTAAAAAAACTGACTGTTTTGGGTAAATAATTATAAAATCCACAATTTTGAGTGTATCGAAGAAACCGGAATATATGTCAGAGAAGTGGTCTATGTGCACCTATATACCAATTTTTGAAGAATCGGTTCAAAAATGTGAGAGTTATTCAAAGTTTTATGACGTCACGACACACAAAATTTTTGAAAAATGATTTTTTTGAAGTTCTAGATCTCGTACGGAAACAACAATAGCATCATTCGATTCGCCGTGAAAAACTGCATCGGATAGACACCTTTTTAGGCCTTAACAACCAACAATTTGACCTCACTTGGCCTGACCTTGACCTGACCTCGACCTGAAATTCATCCAGAGGTGGTCCATATCACTTATTGAGAATTCTATATTTTGTTTTTGGTGACCTGACCTGACCTGACCTGACCTGACCTTGACCTTGACCTTTGAATGATATTGTATGCAGCGAATATTGTCTTGGTAGCCTAAGAACACGTTTTGGGCAATTAGTCTCAGTCCATTCTTCGGCAACTACGGTGCAAGGCCGATACTGTAAAAACTTGCTTTTTGTACCCTTGACCTGCCTAGACCTCTTACCTACTTAAGCAAAAAAATTGGCTCTTAAATTGGCTTAAATTGGCTTAAGATCAGCCTTGTTGAGAGCTTTCGATTGCCGTTTTCCCCGTCTTTCTACGACCATCGGTTCGGAAGTTAGACCGGGGGGGGGGCAGAATCTGTCCCTCCGCAGGGCGCGTATGGCTGAATAGTCCAGCGGAGCGCGGGTTAAAAACGATATTTTCTAACGCATTTTTTAAGCTGCGAACTCGGTAAAATTTGGGTCTCAGATCTATAACAATGTTGTTATAGATCAATGTCGTTATGATTATGTGCAACATAATCATAACAACATTGATTAACAATGTTGTTATGATTATCTATAACAATGTTGTTTCCGTGCTATAATTTCAGGCGTCAGCCGTGTGAAGCACGTGAAGCGTGTGCTGCTTCTGCTGCTAGCAGCGGGGCAGTGGGTGGTGCCGGCTGCTGGTGGTGGCCTGACGCCGGCCGACGTCACAGCCAGATGGGCGCAGCGGCTGCACTTTTGGCGGCTGACGGACGTGGCCTGGCCGCTGGATGAGGCTGCCGTCTACCTGGCGCCGGCCGCTGCTGACGACTGTCACTGCCGTAACCTGTGTCTGGCCGACGATCGCTGCGTCGCCGTCGACTATCGCCTGACCGACACCGGGCCGCTCTGCCGCCTGGCCAGTCGTCGCGGCAACGCGACCGGTGCACCGGCCGATGGCAGCGCCGTCTTCACCGCCGTCCGCGCCGGGCTGGCCGCGTTCGGCGAGCACTGCCTCTGGGACGGGGAGTGCGGCTGGGACGTGGTGGCCGGCCGCTGTCTGGCCGGCGTGTGCGCCTGCTCCGGGGACCGCCTGGGCGACCAGTGCGTGGTGTCCGACTGCCACCAGCTGCTGGCCTCTCCGGCCGGCGTGGCGCCCAGCGGCGAGTACTGGGTGCAGCTGGCGCCCGGCGAGTCGCCGCTGGCGCTCTTCTGCGACATGGAGACGGACGGCGGCGGCTGGACCGTGTTCCAGCGGCGACAGAACGACACCGAGCAGCTCGACTTTTACCGCGACTGGCAGCAGTACCGCGACGGATTCGGCAACGTCACCGGCCAGTTCTGGCTGGGCAACGAGCTGCTGCACCGGCTGACGGCGCGCCGACCTCAGCAGCTGCGCATCGACCTTTTCAGCTTCGAGGACGAGCACCGGTTCGCCCAGTACCAGTCGGTGACGCTGGCCGGAGAGGACGACTTCTATCGGATTCAAGTGAGCACCTACAGCGGCAACGCTGGCGGCTCATTCGGATCGTGCAGCGGACAGCAGTTCAGCACGAAGGACGCCGATCACGACACCTACAGCGGCTCGTGCGCCAATATGTACCGCGGCGGCTGGTGGTACAGCTCGTGTCACGGCTCCAACCTCAACGGCCTCTACCTGTGGGGTCCGACCGAGCTGTACGCCCGCGGAGTGGTGTTCTCCGGCTGGCTGGGCTACTACTACTCGCTCAAACACACCGAAATGAAAATTCGGCCCACAGACGTCAGCACCAGCACCATGTAGACTAGACTAGACATGTGGACTAGATTAGAAGCTAGACTAGACATGTAGACTAGACTACTATGGACGTCAAACCCCTTGAGACCCCACTTTTTTGCGATAATTTTTAAATGCGTGAACTCTCGCTGACGATATTCTGGCAATGTGTGTTACAGAACCTGCCGAAATTTTTATTACTAAGGTATTTTGACGCCAAACGATTATGAAAGGTACTTCTCATTCACTCGTAACGCTAAGGTCAATTCAGGCCCGGGCAGAGGCTTGTGTTCGGCCGTACTCGAGCCCCGCCACCAGCGCCATCTGCTCTTAATGTCATCTACCAGCGCCTGCTACCGCTACCAGCTACCGCCCACCATCAAGCCTGGATGGAGCGCGAGACGCGAGTGGCCGGTCGCCGGGCAAGGAGCGCCGGAGGGGTAGGGCGGAGCTCAGCGCTGACGTCATTACGTGGCCCCGCCCCATGAGCGCGTAGCCTCTACCCAAACAGCAGATTCGTTCCGTGAAATTTAACATTACGAGTGAATGAGAAGTACCTTTCATAATTGTTTGGCGTCAAAATACCTTTGTAATAAAAGTTTCGGCAGGTTCTGAAACACACATTGCCAGAATGTCGTCAACGAGAGTTAACACATTTAAAAATTATCGCAAAAAGTGGGGTCTCAAGGGGTTTGACGTCCATAGTAGTAGACTGGACACGTAGACTAGACAGTATACACGTCGCACAGAGACCCGACACGAATATGCACTCAGCGGAGATTCACATCTGTACGGCTAAATGATAGACAATAGCCGTCTTCACGACAGCCACCTGTTACACATTTGGTATAGATTAGGAGCAGATTTGGTGCAGATTCGGTCAAATTAGTTCCGGCGTGTTCCTTAAAAGTTATGACTGGGGGCTCTACAGAGCCCCCCTCCCGTTTTTCGGCAATATCTTCTAAACCGTTTGACGGATCAAGACGAAACTTGCGGTACCCTCCGCGGCATCAATTTGACATCTTGTGGTAAAATTTCAACTTTCTAGCTATCATAGTTTGGCCGGAAATGACGTCAGAATGACGTCATGTCGGCCGATTTTGATGCAAATTATTAAATTACGGTTAACGCTCTCAAGAGCTTAGTGTTAAAGCTAGATCCAATTTCTTTGCATCAGTGGACTACCAATACACCTAGCTATCAAACTGCTGTCTCGAATTTTCAAAATTTTGAAAATTTTGAAAATATGTTTTTATAATTACAATTTTTTTTTCAAAAAGTTTTCAATTTTTCGCAAAAAAGGAATATATGTGATAGAACCCACACTGATGAACTACTGTAGCAAGTTTTAGCCCAATATCTTTAAAATAGCCAAGTTATTTGCATTATTGTCAAAATTTTACAATTATACCTATATTTTTCAAAACCATTTTTCAGTACGTTTTTTGACATCCTACAGTAATGTTAATGGCATCATCGTGTTCCTGAGCGAGCTCAAACTGCATCTGATAGACACCTTTTTTGTTTGAAAAAATTTCATTTTCAAAATTTGACCTTTTCTGACCTGAAAGTGACCTGACTTCCGGTAAATTCAGCTGAAAATGACCTCAAATGACACAGACGACATTGTTTTCTAATTCACGAGTAGTAAAATGGTCCATAAAACATGCGTCACGTGACTGATGCATGATGTACAATTTTCGTGACCTATGATGACCTGGCCTTGACCTGAAAAAAAAATTGAAGTAAAAGTTTGGTACCCTCAGGGTATATAAGGCATATATCAAGGAGTGCGTAAACCAAAAATGAGCCTGGTCAGACTTGTCAGCCGGCGGTCAGAGCCTAAATTGTGAACAAGCAAAAATACCGATAATTTTTACTTTGACCTGACCTGTGACGTCATCGGTGACCTCGAGGTCAATGAAAATAGGATTTGCTCTACAGTTTTTCCAGGGCTATTAGACACCGTTTGAATTTTGACGATCAGTCCAGAAGTTACGGAGATAGGAGGGGGGGGGGGCTCTGAAGAGCCCCCTCAGTCACTCCCGTTATGGAAAATACCCCAGTCATGCGCGGGTTTCCAGTTGGGGTTGCACAGCAGCTTATATGCCTCATTTTTCAAATTATAAGACATTATTTTCTATTTAAACACTGAAATAGCTTCATGCCGAAGATATTTGTCGCAAAAAAGTTTTGGTGTAGATTTGGTGCAAATTAGGAGCATCACCAGATAGCCCGTCGTGAAAACGGCCTTACATTTTCAACAGCATGCCTATTTACACTTGTAAGTTGTAATGCTCGAATGTGTCATAGCAAGATCACAAGAATGATTCGACATCGACCAAAATAAATGTGATGGTGTGATGAAACATATTAGAAGCGGTACGTTAAAAAAATGTATAAGAGCTAGATATTGATTGTCATGAAAATGTCACTTTTCAAAATGAACGCTACCTGTGTGATCAAGGGGGCTGGGATAGCGACTGGATAAATTCTCTTATCAGTGCGCTTAGTGTAAGACTTCGACACCTGTGACAACTGTGATTACTCAGCGGGTAATAATGAGCCTGGGCTAGCATACGCACAATAGCGACGCGTATGCTAGCTATGCATTATTATTTTATATTATTATATTAAATTATATTGCGGATGCCACTGTTTGGCTTAATTTGTACCATTACTGGCAGTTCAGTACCGGGAAACAGTAACTTTTTCGTTATATGCATCAACCGGATGTAGATTTACCATGATAGACTGCTTGACTGGGGCCGCTGTATTTCACCCCGCTAGATTTTATGCATCATGCTGCTTTCCCACATCCGGAATTACGTTAAACGTGGAAGACGTAAGTTTTGTAGCGCATGCTTTGAAATATACACAAAATAACTGCAAATCATTTACGGATTGTTTCACCCGTATCCGCGAAAGGCTATGTCTCATGCAAATTTTGCTTAGCTTCTACACATGGTAATTAGGTATGGCCCTTGTTCAGCTTACTCGTAAGCGCGGGCAGGAGTTAATAGCCGTTTTCACGACGGCCATCTGGTACACATTTGGTGCACATCTGGTGCAGATTAGGTGCAGATTTGGTCAAATCAGGTTCAGTGTGCCTCTTAGTAGCTATCAGCTAGGGTTGTATTAATTGCTTATATGCCTGCTTTGTCATATTATCAGAGTGCATAATCGATTAAAACACTGAAATAAATTCAAAAAATGAAGATAATTGCTGTAAAAAAGATTAGGTGCAGATCTGGTCAAATCAGGTGCACTCGCCGGATAGCCCGTCGTGAAAACGGCTAATATGTACTTTATAATCGATAATCGATTAACGATAATATGTACTATATAATCGATAATATGTACTAAAATATCAGACTTAAAGTGTTCCCAGCCCCGCCCCTATTCGTGCCATTCCATTACCCTTAATCGTATTTGTCGGAAATGGCGCTTTGTGACAAATGTGGCGCATTGCGGCAAACGTGGCGCATTTTCACCCGGTGATTGACCATGCATCTTTGCACCAAATTGCACCCATATCGGACTATATTTGACAAAACTGTGCGATTTGCGGCAAAAATGACGCCCTGTGACCAATGTGACGCATTGCGGCAAACGCGGTGCATTTGTATACTCGTATCACAAACTGTTTCCATTGAACGAAAATCAACACGTTCTCTCGCCACTTTTCATTCAAATTAATAACTTGCCGATCCGCCAATGCGAGGCACCCGCCGCCGATCGGCATGCATTTCGTCCACAAAGTTTGTCGACCCAGGCTCTCAATGAAGATCTACGAACCGATCAAAATTTCATTGGCGATCTTCCAGCGCGCCCCACGCGCGAACCGTGCACCCCAGCGAGTCGGAACCTAGAAAAGGCGCTGACCCGCTCTGTCACCTATAAGGTGTGCAAATTTCAGCCCCCTACGATATACCGTCTGCCCTGTAGGCCGGCTAAATTGAACCCACTACACGGCGTGGCGGACAGACAAACAAACAAACAGATGGATCCTGTTCAAATAGTAGTGACCTGACCTTAGGTCCTGGGGTGACCTGACCTTAGGTGACCTGGGGTCAAAATTTTGACACACGATGCGAAATTGAGGTATCATAAGCTATACCAAGTTTCACGGCGGTGCGCGCCTCGGTTTTCTTTACACGCGTAAAATAAGCTGGCAGGTGTGGCCAAAAACACCACACACACTCTCCCCCCCCCCGGCCCCCACACACACACTCCGGCGAAGGCTGATCCTGAAATATCATATTTGGTCTTCGCGGCCCTCCATGTGGTCCCCAGTAACTTCAGACTCGTGGTTACGCGCCTGGCACTGGGCATTCAGTTGCCGCACGATTAGGCGCTGGTTGTCACGCGACAGAAGGGGATAGACGTCTGAGAACCAGCTAGGTCGCGGCAGGAAGACTTCCGCCAGCCGGGTAGCGCAGAACGTCATCGCGAAGTGCGGAGCTAAAGACGGGCTTATCCACAAGGAAACTGGCAAGGAGGCTGATTGCCAACAGTCATCCAGTCTCCAAGTCAACAATCCATCGGGACCGAAGGTTGCTTCTAAAGCTGAAGCCCACCAAGCCACGTCTCCAGCCGAAAACTTCTGCTGAACATGTCCAGAGCCATCTTTCAACAGGTCGGCGCCCCGGCTCATCGAGCTAGAACGACGCGGGACTGGTGCAAATCGAACTTCCCAACATTCTGGGAGAAGGGCAAATGACCGGGGAATAGTCCCTACCTGTCGCCGAGAGAAAATCTTAGGGCGATCGTCCGGTAAGAGGTGAACAAAATGGCGCCAGGATAATCTGAAGGCACGCTGACCAGGAACGTTCGATCTGTCTGGTCCTAGACCAGTCCATAGAAGCTGGACATGCTGATGTCTGATGTCCCGGACACCTTGCCCGTATGTATGCTTGCCCGTATCAGGGAGGTGGGATACATATGTAAGAAAAGCGCACCTCTCATGTTTGTTATTTTCATGCAATTAACCCGCGACCGCCTGGGGGGGTCGGATCCGACCCCCCCCCCTCCGTTTTTCTTGAATAACTCATGAACCGCTTGCGCTATCAACTTGAAACTTCGCATACCTTCTTCCCCATCAATTTGACGTCTCCTGTGCAATTTTTAAGAAAAAATTTTCAAAAATTTCTGAGATATATCGATTTTAGTGATGTAACTACATGGCGTTTTCAGTCAAAAAATGGTAAATGTTTAAAAAATCGCCAAAAATCGAGGTTTTGAGCAAATTGCAAATTAAGGACATGAAAAGACGCAGCTCAACGAGTTCTTTAAAATGGCTATCTCGGATTTTCCATAAAATGCGTTTTTCACCCCTAAAAATTCAAAAAACTATATTTTTTGGAAAACAGCTAATAAAATCCAAAATTTTGAGAATTTCCAAAAAACCGGAATATATGTTATAGAGCTCTATTAGAACATTAGATGTCCCAAATTTCAACTTTCTATCTTGATTTTTGACCCCCAAATTGTAAAAAATAGCTCCAACATGCATAGGGCATGGTGACGTCATAAACATTTTAGCGAATTAGAGGCACTTCTGAACATTGCATGTGAAAACAAATGGCACCACTAGATTCCTGGGACAAAGCTCGTCTAGAAAAGTGCATTTTTATGTCAAAAATAAAAAGTTGAAAAATTGACCTTTTTTCTCAGCCCTCGTTTAGTATAAACGATTTTTTATGCTTTCAATGCACACGTATCACCAGCACAGTGACTTGGGGTCACATATAACCATTACCATCGGATTTGGCGTGAAAAATAAGCCATAAAACATGTGTCGCACGCCCATGTAGCAGAAAGTGAAAACCGTGACCTTTCGTGACCTGACCTGACCTTGACACGTACTTAGTATGACCCCTATACGCACATGGTACCTTCACTAGGTCTTTGAGGTCATTTGTGGTGAGTTTCGAGCAGCAGCTATCGATTCCGCTGTCCGTAAGCCTAATCATGCAAAACCCCTGAATTTGACCTTTGACCTGACCTTGACCCGAAAGTTGACCTCAATCTTAAAATCTTAAGAGTGCTTTGGGAAGGTCTCGTAGAGACCTTTCGAACGCCGCCTCGCGGGGCTCGATACGACCATTGGTTCTCGAGATAACAGGGGGGGGTCGGATCCGACCCCCCCCCAGGCTGATGTGGGTACGGAAATAGCCCAGGCGGTGCCGGGTTAAGGCTGGAAGGGTGTGACATTTTTTGGACACCCTGTATAAGGCATCAAGGCGTGCCACCTGTACTCGGTTGGGAAGTGCAGGTTCCTGGAGAGCCGTGTGCCTGCCGATGAAGTTTATGTACCCGTTGTCCGCTCAGCTCCGTCACCAACTTTGACTCACCACACTGCTGGAGCCATACCTAGCTTTCCTCCCTCCCCTCCACCCGTGCCCCCCCCCCCCTTGCGACTGCGCTGTGCCGGTAACCATGTGACCGGCGCGTAACGTCCGAGGGGGGGGGGGGTGGAGCCGGGCAACTGGACCGGCCGGGTCAGACTGGTGCGGGGTGCCGGCACCGACAGACCGGCCGGACCACCGACAGACCCGCCGGACCACCGACAGACCGGCCGGACCACCGACAGACCCGCCGACCGGAACAGGTGTCGGTCAGTGGTCAGAGGAGAGTACAGCGGCGGTCAGGGTAACCAGAGTGGCCGGGGGCCGGTCGGTCGACCAGTGGGCACAGCAGCGCTGCCCGCACTATCAGGGACAGTGGAAGGAGCGGTGGCGCTCTGACGGCTCCAGTGAGGTCGGACAGCACGGCCCTCAGCCGCGGCGGGCGGCGGGCAGTCAGGGCGGAGCTGTCAGTAGTGACCGGAGAGGCTCAGTTGCCAGAGGACTATCGGTCAGAGAGTAGCTGCAACAGGAGTCGGCAACTGTCTGGGAGACTGCAGAAGATCACGGGCAAGACACGAATGGCCATGGACCACGGATAGAACCAAGTGGGATAGAGCCATTGGGGCTGTGAACAAAGGGTGTGGATTACAGACACTGGCGAGCGGTACCAAAAAAGACAGCCAAGCGCACCAGTGGAAGGCGGCATCGGGCGACGAATACCCAGAACGAACACCGAACTACACCAGTAGAGGCGTCTCATCGCCGTCACCATGACCACGTGAGTAGCACCAGCCGTGCGGTTTGGGTTTTTCTGCAGTTCTTATTTTCTGCGATTATTTCTGCAGTTATTTACTGCCGATTAAGTATCAGGAGCAGGACAGTACGATCAGGCAGCAGTCGCCACTCGCCAGCCGAGCTAAATTGGCCGACGGCCGACGGCGACGACTGGAGAAGCCCGCTCCGTCCCCGGTCCGCCGCATCGGAAGGAACTCATCGGGGTCTTGGTAGACTGCACCGCCGTACAGTGGTGTAGTGCGGCACAGCCTACACCGTCAGTCAGTCGCACAGACTGTGGCCACTGGCCATGCAGCTACACTTCCTAGTTTCTACATAGCTTTGGGGTGGGATGGGCAAAACGGAAACTGGAAAGCCATTCTGGAAGGAACGACTCAAGGTTCGAAAGATAAGGTGGGGAGGGGGGGGGGGGCTGAGGGTGCTCGAGAACCTCTTAGCTATAAGCTAACTAGAGCTCAGGATATAAATGCTAACATAAGATAAGATTATGGTTCTAATTCTGATACCTTGTTTTCAAAGCGGGCTTAAGTAGTGTGCAGAATAGGAGCCAGATCACCAGGGGCCAGGGGTGCAGGGAAAGTATCTACCTATGTCTTCACTACGCAACAGTAGCTGCGGAACACCTTCAATTAAGAGGGGGGGGGGGGGGGGCACTGCCGACTTTTGGTCCCATTCTTTCCATGCAACGCGCATAGGGCTAATGTTAAAATGGTAAAATCAAGAGGGACACGGTGCCCCGGTGCCCTCCCCCCCCGTTCCGCCGCCTATGCTACGCAAGAGCCAAGAATTTGAGTGCGCCGCGCCATTGAAAACCTTTTTTAGGAAACAGCGCCTGTAGGCTGCAGCCTCGCGTGACGCGTCCTCCCGTCATTTTACAGTTAGGTATAGCCTATTCACTTACAAAACGGTCAAACCTACCCAAAAATTTGAGCCGGAGAGCGGGTAGGAGCGAAGTCATCGCTTGTTTGCTCTTTTGCACACGTCGGACGTCCCTATCTAAACATTTGACTAAAACTCGTTAAAATGTATTACCATTGCTGTGAGTGAAGGCCGAAGGCTAACAAAGGCTAACGAAGGCTCAGTAAGCGAGGGCATAGGCGGTCCCAGGGGGGGGCCACGGGGGCCATGGCCCCCCCTTTGGTGCTGAAAGGTGGGGCCATACTATCTTTTGGCCCCACCTTTCAGATCGAACAAAAGTCCTAGAAAGCTTTTTGTATGTTTCATTTTCTTTCTTGCGCCATCAAAGGACGTAAATTTTACTCATGAGTGGGCTCAGCTTCGCATTCTGTCAATTTGGCGGTCAGCGTCGCTGGCACCGGTTCACGAGTAAGGCCGGATCTTATATGGAATATCAGCGTGGCTTTACTTAAGGCTCTCGTAGGCCCAGCAATGGCTGGCATGAGACCCTCTTCGGCAGTGGCGGGTGGGCCCCGCCAAATGAGCGTGGCTCTACGACATTAAAGTAAGACCTCATGGGTTGGTGCGGTGCACCTCAGAAGCCCGGTGGTGACGCCGTATGCCGGCTTGGTTTCTTAAGGATTAGCGTGGGACCTTCGGGGCCTGCATAGAGTTTGCATGAGCTAGTATGCAATCTCAGAGGCCTGTGTGTAATGTGTACACACACACAGTGGCGGTCGCGTGGGGGGGGGGGCATCAGGGCCATGCCCCCCAAAGGCCAATAAAGGGGGCCATCATAGCATTTGCCCCCTCCCCTCAAACAACCGATGGGCCTCCATAGGTGTATGGGGCCCTGGCCCTTATTCGATCGTCACGAGGCTCAAAAAACCCACTCCAAGCTAATAATATAGCTCCCACACCGGTCTTCGAGCGTCCTACACTGACCTTCGAGGGAACTTCAGTGGCGGTCAAGCACCCACGTTGGCCGCTAAGAGCCCACATCGACCTCTTAAGCCCCACATCTGGCCTATGAGGGCCCCTAACCGGCCTCAGGGGCCCCAACCGGCGTCTGAGCGTCTCACACCGGTCTCTGGTGGCCTTATTTCTGTCTCTGGTGTCCTAAGACGAACCTTTAGGTGCCAATGAGGGCCCGCACTGGCTGCTAAAGACCCGATGCCGGCCTCTAAGGGCCTGCATTGGCCTCTGAGGAGGGCCCATCTTGGCCTTTGAGGGCCCTCTGCTGGCCTCTGGGGTCCAACGACGGCTCATGCCGGTCTTTTAGAGCCCCACGCTGACATCTGAGGGCCCCATGTTGGCCTGTAATGAGTAAGGACCCACATTAGCCTCTGAGAGCCCAACTCGGTCTCTGATGGTCTCAAACTACTGGCCTTTGCAGTTTGCAGGCCCTGTACTGGTCTCTGAGGGCCCTAATCTGGCCTCCAAGTGAAAACATACATGGGTGGGCTTCTGAAGATCAGAGGGCTTACGCAGACTCCTGTACAGCCTTACGTTGGTCCTAATCGAGATCACTTTACGTCCTGATGGTCCCGCGTAGATTCCCTCATATTTCGACATCGGGACCCCATGAGCCGTTGTGGGTGTTGGGGCTGGCAGAGACTGATGAAATCCTCAGGGCTCAGGGCCAGTCTTTTCAGCATGAGGACTAGGCAGGTTGAGTGAGCCCTAATAGAGCCGTTACGAAGCCCGCAGGAGTCGCGCGCGGCCCTCAGATGCCAATTTTGAAAGCCAGGAACCTTTGGTCTCCAGAGGTCGGTGTACCTACTCTCTCCCGCCGCCACACAACTACATTTATGGGTAAATGTCATAGTCTGAAAATGCTCTCTGGGTTTCACATGCTTGTTCAAAGCAAGAGGTACGTATCTGTACTTTTCCGAATTGTTTTATAGTGGTAAGGTCATAAATCCGCGTGCCCGACCTTCCAGTATATGCTACACCGATCCGTCGCCATGGTGCAGTGGCCCGACCGGTGGAAACACCGTGGGACGGGAAATGAAACTGGTGATTTTGCCTTAAATTGTGCTTAAAGATTCCACGCAAGAATGGCACGGATGAAGCATAATTAGTGCCAATTGCGCGGTGCCTCGTGGACGTAAAAATTAGCCGATCACCCCCCCCCCCCTCCGGTGAAGGATAAATGTTATGTTCCGCGAGTGTGAGTTTGGCCCCCCCTTTTGCTAGCGGCTGCGACCGCCAGTGAGCGAGGGCTAACACATCAAAGGACAAAGGAATGATTAATAGATTGATCGGTAGGTAAATGGGGAAGGAAAGAAGAAAAGTTTGGTTTTCTTTATGTTCTCTTTTCACGTCATTTTGTTAAGTTCAGCTACCTTTGCCATAATGAAGAAAAGTCTAGTGACCGAATCCCCCTGCACTGTTCACTGGACACGCCGTTCAACAGCGCCCTGCTGATCCCGTGCTCTGTTGCGCAGGAAGCCGAAGACGTTGGCCGAGCTGGTGCAGCAACGGCGGGCCGGCATCAACGTGGGCGACACCACCACGGCGGCGCAGAAGAAGGCGCGCGCCGCAGAGGCCAAGAGGGCCGAGGCTGAGAAAAGGGAGAGGGAGGAGCGCGCGAGAGAGGAACAGCGACAAGAGGAGGAGCGGCGAGAGAGGGAGAGAAGGGAGGACGAGGAGAGAAGGGAGAGGGAGAGGAGGGAAGAAGAAGAGAAAAAGGAAAAAGAGAGACGAGAACGAGAAGAACGTGAAAAGAGGGAGGAGGAGGAAAGACAGGAGCAGGAGAGGAAGAAAGAAGAGGAGGAAAGGAGAAAGAAAGAAGAGGAAAGGAGACGGAAGCAGGAAGAAGAGGAAAAGGAAGAGAAAAGAAGAGAAGAAGAAAGGAAAGAGAAAAAGAGGCGAGAGGAAGAAGAAGACAGAAAAAGAGAGGAAGAGAGAAAGAAAAGAGAGCAGGAGTGGGAAGAACGACGAAAAGAGAGAGAAAGGCAAGAGGAAGAAGAACTAAAAGAGCGACAGAGACAGCGAGAGGAACAAGAGAAACGTTGGGAAGAGGAAGAGAAAAGACGAGAGCAGGAAAGGCAGGCTAAGAAGGAAGAAAGACTTCGAGAAAAAGAAAATAGGCGAAAGCAGGAAGCGCAGAAAATAGAAGAGGAACAGCGAAAGTTCCAGGAATCAAGGAACAAAGCGAACACAAATAAAAGATTTGACAGGAAAGACATCCTAGAAAGCGAAGATTTCAAGCAGTTCTCGCACTGGATGAAAAATGGCAAGAAAGACGACATGGATAAAGTACAGGAGCTGCTGTTCCCCGATGGCTGCTGGGACTAAATGGCTCCTGATCCACAGCGAGCGGGCGTCGTTTGCGACCACCAAGTTCGGACCGTCTGGCGCTACCGGGAGTCACTCGCCGAGTCAGTCCCGGAAGTATAGCTCACGGGCAGCAGCGATCAAAACTGCGACTGCGTTCGAGGCGCCGGAGGGGGTCGGCGGTGGTCGAGGACAGGGCACGGCGGCCTACTGACCCCGTCCGGAGGCCAGCGCTGGCGCGGACCGTGCCGAACACTCAGTGGACTCGGAGGCTGGTAATTACTTCTGAGCCGACACTGAAGTGTGATCTACCAGCATCGTTCTGAGTGCGAGGAATGAATAGCGAACACTGAGTGTGCCGTGATCTGCCCGCGCCGCTAAACGCTGGTCGCCGCACTGCGTGGTGAAAGAGGGGTTTGCCGTTGTTTCTCCGTGTTGGAGGAGGTTGTGCCGCTGGGCTCAGCCAACTGAAGGGCGGGGATATGAGTTGGGACTTTGGGAGAGGCCACTGCTGGCCTGTGCCGGGTGACGCCGTAGTTTGCTCCGCTGGCGGTTTTAGTCCAACCACGCGCTGGTCGCGTGACCTCGCACTCCCGAATGGAAAGCGATTGTTTTCGCTCTGGGGCCCATTGTGCGTGCCCTGTGTACCTGCTGGTTGTGGATACTGTGGCTGCGTTGGCGGATTGTGATATCATTGGCTCGTCCCTTGCATGATTTGGAAAACTCAGGCCGACCGTCAATTGTTTCGAGCAGAAAAACATTTAAGCCTAATAACTGGTAGACGTGCTCATCCGTATCCGGTTCGGTTCGGAGCTCTGGAATGTATGGATTTTGCCTACTTTGTCCGCAGTGGCCCCCGGGCCGGGGCCAGCTGTGGCAGTACCCTGTCCGTGGCCATTGGTACCGGCGCTGCAGCCGTTGTGTGTTGGGTCCGCCGTGTGGGGGTGGGGACGGTGTGGGCCTCTCGCTCCCCTGGCGGGATGGGTCACCCAGCTCGGGGAGGCCCGGGCTCTCTCCGGGGGCCCGTGTGAAGTGCAGTGCCGTGTCTGGTGTGAGGCGGCGGCGGCTCCCAGCCGCCGGCGGGGGCCGAGCTGTACTGCTCTGTGTCGCGGCGCGGAGTGAGCCGTCCTCTGGTGCGGGACGCGGGCGGTGTGGTCTGGCGCTCCTGCTGATCTAAATCCACCCCGTCCTATCACTGTGGTCTCCAGTCGCTTCTGGTTACACCATACTCGTAATGAGCCATTCTGTCATCCGCCAGCGACCCCCGTGAAACATGTGTCGCTCTGTTCGTCGCATGAGTCTACGTCAGTAGCCCATTAACAGTTACCAAGTATGTAGGTCGAAATAGAGTGCATTTATCGCAGCTGAACCAGCTAGCGATGTGTAATATTTGTTACTCGAGTGTTTAGATTGCCTAACCTGGTTGCTTGGTGCTTCTACTCCCACAGACCCCGCCGCACAACCCCATCCACCAGTTAAATAATTTATTAAAATACATTTGCTTCTCAACAGTGCGGCTTCTAGCTGCGAATTACCCACGGAGGACAATCATAGATGCTCGATAAGACGGATACACTAGCAAAACGGGCAGTCCTGCGGCCAACGGCGGCGCGCCGCCCGCTCTCTGGTCCGGTCCGGTCCAGTGCGGTTCGGTCCGGTCCTCCGGGCCGGGTGCCAGCCGGCCGGGCGGTCCCTAAGGCACTGACGGCGGCCCGAGCAGCGCGCACTCGGCACCCGGCGCCACCGCCCTGGCAAGAGACGAACGGTGGGGGGCGGGCAGCGCGCGCCCTCCCATAAGCATTAATCAGCTCGCCGGTGGCGTTTGTAGCACTCTGAGTAAAGCTGACTGCCCTAAAAATCGACACATTTGGCGCTGGCGGCCCGATTCGGTCCGTCACAGAGTGGCAGTCGCTGCGACCGCATCACATAGCACTGACCGGGCGGCCGGTACAGTCTCGGGCCGGCTGTACAGTCTGGAAGACGGTCCGGGCAGCGGCGGCGCGCGTCATTGGTAGATCATCACCAGCTGTTTGGCGCCCTTGGCCACCTCGAAGGCCATCTGGATGACCTGCTGGGTGATGAGACGCGCGTCGTGCGCGGACGGCGCGCCGGCGGCGGCCAGCAGGCCGGCCGACTCGTTCTGCAGCCGCCAGGCCGAGGTGCTCAGCTGCTGGACAGAGTCCAGCGCGCGCTCGTCGCAGCCCGACTGCCGGAGGGACAGGACACACAGCGGGCCGTCAGCAGGGCGCGGCGGTGGAAACACGTTCAACAGTCCGGACTGGCCACTGATACCAGCGGCCGTCACTGACATGGACTATTGGTCTCAAGATTGGTCTACAAACGTACTATTGGAGTCCCGGCGGCCCAACTGTCAGAGCCTGACCGAGTGAGCCTTGTCCTACCTGGATGGTAGCGAGGGTGACGGTAACGCATGAAAATAGCTGTTCACTGGAACCCTCACCCTAAGACCGTTCACAAATATCAAAGAGATCACTATGGGGAAGTAAAATGGATTGCTGAGAGCTCTTTATACTAAAAAAGATGTCTATTGCACAATGCCCAGAGCGCACATACAGACACACATCCACAACTCAAACATGTAGACCCCATATCTCTCACCGCCCGGCTAGCTCAGTCGGTAGAGCATGGGACTCTTAATCCCAGGGTCGTGGGTTCGAGCCCCACGTTGGGCGACCTTTTCCGATCTTCGAAACAGCGGCAAACTGCGCAGTTACTAATCTCGCCAATAACCATTCCCTGTTCATTATTTTTCCTTACTAATCTCGCCAATAACCATTCCCTGTTCATTTTTTTTCCGCCGAGGACCACCCGAAGAAAGCCGACGCTGACGCCGACGCCGACCCGAAAGATGAACCCGGTCAGCCAGACAACTAAAATATGCGACATCTCCCACGTCAGGACCTAGACTGACCTGTGAGAAACCCCAGACTGTCGACCGGCCTCCATCTGACCTATGGGTAGCTCCTGCTAATACATGGCCTGTGAGCGAGCCCTGTGTGACCTGTCAGACTCCTGACTGACCTGCGGGAAGACTGAGACCATCTCGAGGACAGCCGAGTAGATGCGGTCGATGCAGGCGTTGTACTGGTCGGTCCGGCCGTGCTGGGCGGCCGTCAGCAGCCGCTGGATCCGCCGGGTCACCTGGACAGACACACACGGCGGCGGGTCGGTGAAAACGTGCAGCGCACGGACGGATTTCAGCGTAAACGGAAGGGGGCAGGATAGCATACAATTACACATTACAAAGAGCGTACCAAAATTTGAATATTTCGATGATTCACTGGGTCAATGTACATACCTACCAGGCATCCGCGACAAAACGTATATGTCACACGGGCTGGAATTAGTAAAACGATAATAATCGCACACGGCGATTCCTCGTGGTTGTATCATCCGGACTTAGAATCATCCGATTTCATCCAATAGAAACCATGGTAGGCCAGAGATATCGAATATCAATCCAAAAATTACATCGGGCCAACCGGGTCAGCACGACGTCCAGCAAAACGAAAGCAAACCATATACAATTACGTCAAATCAGCTATCATTGCAAAGACCAAAGACCTAGCCTGGTATACAAGACGGGTGATGGGCGCCCATTCTACCCAGGCTTCAACGAAAACAGGCGCACGAAGAAAGTCGGCCGGACTCGACAAGCGGTTCCATTATACCGTTTGGAAGTCTAGCCGTTGGTATAAACACTGCCCGCCCAAACGGATCAATACGGCAGCAAAAATCTACACGGCAGAACGGACTAATGGAAGCGGAGAGTCCTGCAAACGGAGCGCCCCATACCGTGTGGTTTGTGTTTACAAATACCTAACTTTGACGAACGGCAAAGATAACCAGACGTAAGGCAAGCTGCACACCGGACGATTCTTCGTCCATGTTGTCTGCAGACAGTACAGCAATAAACCGAGAAGAATGTATGCGACGAGCAATACATATACCTACAGAAATGTGATCTTTCTCTACAATGTTTTTTCTTAGTGACGCTTCAGCACCAGATAATGTAACTACTATAGAATCCCTCATCAAGTGATCGAGTGGAGCTAATAACTGAATGCATATTTCGACACCTTTTTTTTAAACCCTACATTTGTTCTCCCGTGAAGTTCAGACAAGTTGTTTAGAAACCTTCAAAAAAGGTACAAAAAAGGTGTCGATTTATCATCAGAATTAAAATCTACATGAATTTCGCCGATACCTGACTGTGATAAAGTGATAAGCGAGCATCGCTTGAAAAGAGGGTTCAGTGACGTTTTCGGGTCAAGAAACGGCTATTGTCCTAAATATTTTAGCGGCTCTTTAGCCGATTAAAACGTAACGGTGACTCGCGATATGGAATGGGTGGGTCATAAAATTGCGTGAAAACGGCCGCACCTGAATTATAGATGGAGCAATCCCCTTTATGCCACTCTAGTTCGGTAACATTGCTGCCACCGGCGGGGTGTCCTATGGACGATACCAAGCGGAATTCACACCAGCGGCCAACAGTCAACGGAACGCCGGCTGTCCTCTGTGAAATCGTAACGAGCGCTCCTTATTCGAGAACCACCCCAACTTGACATTACGTGGCTTAGTTAGCGGACACTCGTGCCTGGAAACCCCGACTTCAGTACCGACCAACCAGCCCAGTGGGTCTCTAGGTAACCGTGAATAACCAACGAACTAGCGCCGAGCTTCCTCGAACAGCGAGTGTCGGCCAGGCGTCAACCAGTGGCACGGGCCGGCGGCGCAGGTGGAAATTACGGCCCCACGAAATGACACGCGGTAATTTTGATAGGTGATCACACAGAGGGTACTGATTATCTGGTATACGAGTATAGTTGGCTGGCAGGTGTGTGTCATACCGTCACGATGACAATGACGAGCGATGACTGTGTTTGAACACACGGAATGCATATGCATAACTCCTTGATGCCCCACGATAACCCGACACTGCCGTTAGTTTTCGCTAGAATTTAAGTACGGAGCTGTGACACCACGAAAACAGCTACACATTCCGTTCAATATTGTTGTTTTTCATTAGACTTATCCAGCATAGAAAAAACACAGAAGTCTCAGCTATTACGTAGATCGTTCTGTTGATGGTGGCCCACCTTTCCACCCCCGTTCCCCACTGGACCCGCGCGGCTGGGCACTGACCAGTTCCGTTTTCCGTATGACCACCTCCTGTTTGGGCGGCTCGGAGGCGCCCGGCAGCGGCAGTGAGCGCGACCCGCTGGCCCGCTGAGGGACAGATTGGTGCGGCAGCGAGCACGAGCCGCTGGCCGTCAGCGAGGCAGCCGTCGAGCCGGGCGGTGACACCCGGTCCCCCTCCGACAGTTTCCGCTGGGGGAGGAGATGGGGTGAGACACAGGAGACATCGCGGACAGTGTGAGACAGCACACAGCAGTCCGGGTGGCAGGGACATGACAGACGGGCACTGCGAGACACAGCAGCTGCACACTTGTCTGTCAGATGGGGATTATTTTCTTAGTGGAACTCCAATGACTCACACGCATTCAGCGACGTTCGTTTGAGCGACTGAGAGAATCAAGCCGGATGCGTCCACCACCCAACGCTCTAAGACTCAGATAATCAG